GTGTGAGCCTGTGAGTGTGTGTGAGCCTGTGAGTGTGAGCCTGTGAGTGTGAGCCTGTGAGTGTGAGCTTGTGAGTGTGTGTGAGCCTGTGAGTGTGTGTGAGCCGGTGAGTGTGTGTGAGCCGGTGAGTGTGTGTGGCCCTGGTGAGTGTGAGTGTGGCCCTGTGAGTGTGTGTGACCCTGTGAGTGAGTGTGACCCTGCTGGTGAGTGAGTGTGACCCTGGTGAGTGTGTGTGGCCCTGGTGAGTGTGACCCTGCTGGTGAGTGTGAGTGTGGCTCTGTGAGTGTGACCCTGCTGGTGAGTGACTGTGTGCCTGCTGGTGAGTGAGTGCGTGTGGCCCTGGTGAGTGTGACCCTGGTGAGTGAGCGTGTGTGTCCCCTGGTGAGTGCGTGTGTCCCCTGGTGAGTGTGTCCCCTGGTGAGTGCATCCCCTGGTGAGTGAGCGTGTCCCCCCTGCTGGTCACTGTGTCCCCCCTGCTGGTCACTGTGTCCCCTGCTGGTCACTGTCCCCCCGCCCTGACGCCGCTCTCCCCCGCAGCGTGAAGCTCTGGGACCTGCCCCAGCAGACGGTGCTGAGCTCCTACCGAGGTGAGTGCTGCCCCGGGGCCCAGCCCTGCTGCCCTCCCACCCTGCAAACCACACCTGGACCTCACCTGCCCTTGGCCACTCCGGGGGCTCCTGGCACCGCCTCATTTCCTTGTCTCTTGCTCATTTATATTCCCCCCCCCAATGAGCTCTGCAGGGCTCAGGTTGCCTTGCACCTCTCAGCACAGTCTGCAGCACTTTCTCTGTGCTGAAACATTTCTCCCACCTGCAGACACTGGTGTGACCTCCCAACCCCTCTTTGTTTTGAAAAGCAGCTGGTAGGAGGTGCCAGTCCCTGGGGAGCTGGTGATGTGGTCCCTGGCTGCAGCAGGGGCCACTTGTCCTTGATCCTCTCCCCCCAGCCCCTTTGCAAGTGTCTGACCTGCCTGCAGAGGCTGCTCCAGCCCTGTGCCTGCCCAGGCTCCTTTGGCTGCTCTGGGTAGGGAACAGTTGCCTGTGACCGGGTGGAAGTTAACAATGTAGCTGGGCATAAAATAATGGCAACGGTCCTGCTGTGCCTTCAGAGGCCCTTGGGAACATGTGGGAATGCTGGATACAATCTTTGAAGCTCTTTATCCTCTTTTGGCAGCTCACTCGGATGCAGTGACCTGTGTGGCTTCCTGCCCTGGCAAGGACACGGTGTTCCTGTCCTGTGCTGAGGTAAAGCTTCAGCTCCTCCTAAACCTGGGAGCCTTAACTCCAGTTACTTACAGTTAAATGCACTTACTGAGAAACTACAAGCTGTGTTAGTCGGAGTGTTCTGCTCTGATCAGCTGCTCATCTACTTACCAAGCTGATTTCTACAGGTTTGTAGTGAAATGTGGGAGCTCCTGGGTCTGTCCCTGGGGTGAGTGAGGGAGCCAAGTGGCAGTTGAGGGAAGCACCATTTAACCCCAAGGAAGAGGTGGCAGGGTTTCCGTGTGGGTCAGGGGCAGCTCTGCAGGGAGTCTTGAGCTCCTGGCTACCCCTGCCACAAAGAGATTGTAAAAGCCTCCACTTTGGGTTTGCAGGATGGCAGAACTTTGCTCTGGGACACCCGGTGCCCGAAACCAGCGACTCGAATTGGTAGGTTTCTGTGTGCAGCCCCTCCCTGCTTGTGTCTTGAGGTCTTGTTGGAAGAGATAAATCCTTTATGCCTGATTTCAGTGTGTCTAACTGCAGCTCTGGTGATCTGACTGCTTGGGCAGAAAAGCCTGTTAAAGCTCAAGGAAATCTGACACTATCACACAAGTAAAATAAGCTCTCAGCTGCTGCTCCTGGCGCACAGCAGTGCTGAAGCAGCCTGGGAGAATCTTAGCACTGACTTTTCACACTCATCCCAGTTTATTTACTTGCAGTTTGCAGTGCCTGTAATTACCTCCCTACCTCAGTCATGTGGCATCCACAGAAAAGTGACACCTTTGCTTTGGGTAAGAAGTGGTCTTGTTATTTGACTTGACACATCAAGGTCTTTCTTTCCATGTGACAGTTTTGCTAATAACCTCATTCTCCCTTTCTCTCTTTCAGGTGATGAAAGTGGAACAGTTGCACTAGTAGATACAAAGAATCCTGATTCTGCCCTCAGCTCCACTGTGCACACCCGACGTGTCACAGGGTTTGCATTTTCTGCACATAGGTACAGTCTGATCTGCTGGCATAGAACAGGGCATCCTGGGGAGCCTGGGTGGTTTTGAAGAGTAGAACCCATGAGTACTAGGGTTGGGCTTTTTATCAATGAAGAACAGACTGAACCAAATGTCATTTGGTGAGTGTGTGGGTGTGCATGAGGGCACTTCTGCAGTGTTCAGAATTGCTGGCCCACTCTCAGGCTGCTCTCCCAGGGGGCTGGCAGCCTGCCCCATGGCAGTGAGCAGCTTTCTGTAGGGTTTGGGGTGTCTTCCTTCACTGTCCCTGGGTCAGGCTCACTAAGAGATGTGCTTTTTCACAAAAGTGTCCCCGAGAAGCTTTCTGGAGTGTGGCTGCTCTAACCCAGGTCTCCTCTCTGCCCCCAGCTCACCCTTCCTGGCTTCCATCAGTGAGGACTGTTCAGTAGCTGTTCTTGACTCAGACCTCTCCGAGGTGTAAGTACAAGACAACCTGTTCACTGCTGTAGCTGCCTGGCCTGTTGACCTCTCCTCCAGCTAATTATTTGTCCACACACTGGGTGGAAGATGAAAATACTCCTTCAGTGGGGGAGCATGATGCTACCAAACCAGCAGGCAGGGTTGCTGCAGCCCCCAGCTCCCTGTGCTTTGTGCCTAATGGACTGTTCCTCTTTCCCAGGTTCAGAAGCCGTTCCCACCGAGACTTTGTGAAGGGCTTGTCCTGGTCTCCCTCAGACAATGCCCTGCTCACCACGGTGGGGTGGGACCATCAGGTTTTACATCACACTGTCCCCATACCAGCTGGTGAAGCTTCTGGAGTCAACTGTGTAAAGGAATAGTTTTATAAACTCGTGGTCCAGATTCCTTCCTGGCATTACTTTGATTCTGCTGAAGTCAAAGTTGTGTGTGAACTGGAGTGGGCATGGTCTGGTGTCTGCCTTGAAGCTTGTGACTAAGAAGGTTCCTGTAGTAATTTTGAATTAGGCATAAGTTAGTTACAAACTAAGCTTTACCCTCTCCTCAGGAGTTGGCTTCACCTGTGATAAGAATTTGGTATTTTACCCAGAACAAGTTTGACTTCAGGCACAGAGGAGACTTGGAGAGACAGGGAATTGGCCAGCATTAAAAAAAAAAAAGAAAAAAAAAATCAAAAGACTTAAGCCTCTCTCCAAACCATCTGTGGAATTAATAGAAACATTTTTGGGGAGAGGCTAAAAACACCCACCTCTTGTCAGCTGGATGCCAGAGGCTGCTCCTTGAGGAAAGCTCTTTTCTTTGCTCTGTGAATCAGTTCTTCAGCTGCCTGGGGAGACATGTTTGCCTTTAAAGACTAGAAGGTGCAGAGGTTGGTCTGCACTGTCTGCCAGCATGGATCCTCTGGCCAGGATCTCTGCTGCCCCAGGGGGTGTGGGGATGCTGTGGGATCAGGATGTCAGCTGCAGCCCTGTGCTTACACACCTTGGTGGCCGTGTGGGACATGAAGCCCTGTCCTGCTGAGCAGTGCCCTGCAGCTGAGGCCAGCTCAAAGCCAGAAGTTAGCAGTGGCTGTGCTGTTTGACACCATCTTTCATCTCCTCTGTGCTGAAGGCAACTTGATAAAGACCTGTGAGCAAAAGTTTCATGTAAGGGGAAAAAAGTGGACTAAAGACTTCAGTTATCATTTGCTTGCTTCTGTAAACAGACTCTGCTTAGTGGTACATGAGGCTCCTGCTGCACTTGTGGTGAGTGATGTTTTGTGCTGGAGGCTGAGGGGACCAAGCATTCCCACAATCCCCAAAACAGACTCCATGTCATCCTTAGAGGTGTTATTTTATTTTTTTTTTGGTACCCTACCACATAATTTTCAAACAAAACTGCTTCCCTGGAACATATTTAACTGACAAAAATAACTGCTCTGCATGCATTGCCACACTGCTCTAGGTATGGCTTGGTCTGGCCTAGTGTTTCCTAGACAGAATAAAGCAGGAACTGACTGATGACACAAAAATACCATTGAAATTCATGTTATTCCTGTTTCTTTAGCATGATAGCAACACTAAACTGTACACCACTTCCAGTGGGCTTATCCCTGCATAAACATAGGCTTTAGCTGATCCAGACTCTGCAGAGCCCACAGTGAAGTGTTGGGCAGGCTCAGCTCTCCCAGGCTCTACTTTTCTCCTATTTTTAAACCTTGTTTGCTGCTTTTGTAGTTCCCATGTCATGCAGGTGTTCACAGAGCAAACTCCCTGATCTAGAGCAGTGTATAACAAAGAAAGGGTAAATTATTACAAAAAGTGACTAGATTCCTCAAAAGTACCTCTTGAGCTACCAAAAACGTTACCTGTTACAGACTTCTGATGCTGTACTGAGAGCTGAGATGGGTCTTGTGCTGTTGGTGGAAAAGGTTTGTCCTGGAAAAGGTGGAAAACGGTTTTTAAATAAATTATAGTTTTCATTTGTAACTGGGTATAAGTTTCACCGAGCCCCTTCTGTCGTGAAGAGCCTGCTGAGGTCACCCACAGTCCCAGCTGAGGCTGTGATTTCAGTCCCTGAGATTAAAACACTTCTTGAGTCACTGTGCACTGTGTTCCTGTTCAGTGCCAGGGAGCTGGGGTCCCTCAGCACTGCAGGCTGCAGCTCCTGCTGCTTTTCAGGGTCCTTGTCTTCCCAAATCTTGGGAGCAGCGTTTCCATCCTGCAGAACTGGAAAAATAAAGTTACAAATATCGAGTATTAAAACCATATGAAGCTCCTCCCGTTTGCCACCCTGTGAGCAAAACAGCAGCCCGTGGCAGAAGCAAGAGGGTGGGAGGTGAAGCTGGTCTGGACAACAGGTTGACCCTGGTTTTACAAGTAAAGCCTCGCATGGCAGCACAACTGGAAACAGCTTCAGCATCACAGGTGCTTGGGTGAAGCCTCACAAGGTGCCTCAGGAGGGCAGCAGCTGCCAGCCTGGCAGGGGAGCACCCTGACAGCACATTGCTTTCAAGAGGTGCTGATTTATTATTTTTAGTCACACTGGTTGTTTTTTTCGCCATCATGAGAAGCACAGGAGAGTGCCAGTTTCTCCAGGAGCCCCTGGTGTGCTGGGGCTCCCAGCTGGTGGCTGCTGAGCTGGCAAAGCTGCAGCAGCCCTGGCAGAACCACAGCAGCTCCTGTCGGGTCTGTAACCACCTGCAGAGCAGGGGGAGCAGTGCCCGGGCTGCGGGGACCTCCCTGTGCCTGCACCACTCCAGGCTGGGGACACTTCATACATACCCTTGTGGCCAGAGCAAAGGCCTCAAGACACACGTTGCACACTTCCCTCCTGGAAAACCTGGCTCTGCAGCCAGTGCTGGGTTAAAGAGGAGAATGAAATCAGTGTAACTGGGGCGTGGAGAGAAGAAGCCACCGTGAGGAACGAGCCTTTTATGTTGCTGCCTGCGTTGCTCAGGCTGCATTCTCGGTTTTAAGTACAAGGTTCTAGTTAGGACTTGCAAATAAGCATGCAAGTTTCATTGCTGATGAAAAGCTCAACCCCAAGAACTATTTATAGCAGCAGCACAGGCTGAACTGCACAGGCTGCTCTGCAGGCTGCCCGACCTGCTGCTGCCCAGCCCGGCTCTGCCTGCTGAGCGGCCACGGCCTTCGTATCAACAACTGCTGAGTAGGACTTGGACTGAGCTGAGGTCTGCTGAGATTCAGGCTGCTGCCAAGGTCAGCCCCAGCTTAATTGCCCTGCCCTTTTAATCTTACATGCAAATATCTCAACCTGAAAGCAGGTGGGCCACTTAAATACCGAATAAAGTCAGACCACACGTGACAAAGCAATATGTGCAGACGTATTTAATGCAAGAAGGTGTTCAATGGCACTCATAAATAAGAGACTTTGTTCAACACTTTACACATAAAGCTCCCAGTTATACTTACATTAGAAGGTACTTTTGAGGAAGAGGCAGCTGCAGGGGATAATTACAGTTGTATCAAGACTGGAACGACCAAACTGCATCTGAGAGGGCTGGAGTGAGAATAACTCCATTGTCAGGCTGTCAGCACTAGGACTGGGCTACAAGGCAGGTCAGGTTACTCCATCACTACCTCTCCGTTTCCTCCTATTCTAAATGAATATACTGAAAAAGCTGGGGAGAAGGAGCATGAATGGAGACAGAGCAGAGTTTATCTCGGTACTGTCCTGACAGCTGCCTGAGCAAGGCAGAGGGAGCTCTCCCCATCCCTGCAGCCAGGAGATCCTTGCCCTCCTTTATGGATTTAACTTTCTCCCCAAGTGCTTTGGCTGCCAGCAGCTCTGACAGTGGCTTCTTTGTAGCACAAACAGTTCCCGGTGGCCCCAGCAGAAACCTCTGCTTGTTGCTGAAATTCTGCTCGATGAGTTTGAAAGCAGCAGGGACAGCCCAAAGTGTCTGAAGAACAGAACCCCTGCTCAAGGCATTCACACTAACCAGTTCTACAACTGCGAGCAGAGTCTCACCTGATTTTGTTACAGCTTAGTCCACTATGCAGTCCCAGAATGGCTGTTTGAATGAAAAATGGCTACTTTAGGAAACTGACATCATCATGCTACTAATACTTTACACAAACAGATCCATGTCTGCTAGAAACCAGAACTCCCCACTACATAACACCATGTTACAACTACATGTGAATTGGGGGGGAAATAGTAAATGTGAAATTCAAAGCAAGTGCCATCATTGAAGTTTCACATTTTACTCTGAACAAAACAAAAATACCACCAAAAACCAACTCGACTCGTGTTGGGCATACACTGAAATTTAAGATAATTCTGAAGGAGGAAAAGTGCACACATGTCATTTCTGGGCAGTCAACCTTGAAGGCCAAAGTCTCCAAACAAGCCTTTAAATTTAAAACTGCTTTTGAGAACTAATTTGCAGTTAAAACTTATTATTTTGGAGAAAAAAAAAAATATCAGGAAAAAACACAACACCCAATTAGGTTGCAATATTATCAGAGGGGCTTCTTTGTTTTTTCTCAAGTTCCACTGGTGAAACTCCATCCAACACCAAGACATGACCCTGCAGCCACTCAAACAGCCTTCATCTCTATAGGCAAATAAGAATCCTCAAGATGCTCCTTGCATGGAGAAACTTCCATGTTCTAAGGGAAGGGAGCTGTTCTACCCTGGCACACTGAAATACACAGACAATTACTCCACAGTCACTTTTCTCCATGAACATTTTTTTTAACCTACACCCCAGCTACTTAAAATGTTTTATTTCAATACTGGCTGGGGTGAGTGTGTCTGGAAATCTGCCAAGTCACTGTGACTTATTGGCACAAAAATGCCACTGGAATTAGCTATTAAGACTGATTATGTTATTTGTGTTTTCATTTTATTCACAGCAAAGTTCAGAACACTGAGCAGCTGCTGCAATATTTGGAACAGCTCTTCAGTTATTAGGTAAAGTTAGAAAATAACATCAACCAGAATGTCAGCGACATGACACTGACATCAAGATAAGTCTTTGGAAAGATCCACTGTGAAGGAAAATGTTACTGAATTTGTAGTTGGACTGTAGAGCAACACCTGCCTACACCCCCACACCCCTGCTCTGCAGGACAAGCTGGAGTGGAACTAACGGCTTCGTGTAGTACTGAAAATAGAAAGTGCTTTCCATGGAAGTAGACTAATGTCTCAAAGTGCTTTTAGTTTGTCAGTGACAAGAAAACATTCTCTACAAGTTTTTACACTTATTTTACAGGGGTTTTCAGCAAGTTTACCTACGAGGAAGATACATGTTTCTACTTTCAGGAAGCTGGCTTACTCAAAACTTTGGTCAGCAGTCGTGGGGCTGCACTGCTCACCCTGAGGGACAAGACACCCTCCTGAAGGCTTCTTGTCCCTCCCACAGCCACCACTCACTCCCTCAGAAGGCACTGGCAGGAGGGCCCAGGCTGGAACGCCTGCCCAGCACCCAGACAAGCACTGTGAAGCAGCAGGAGCTGGGGGGTGTCACTGCAGACATTCCATACACCAGGAGCAGCAAATACTCTACAATCACACTGAAATCCAGCTTGTTAGCCCCCCACATCAGACAATCCCAAGCCAAGTCTCAGCCTAACAGTTTATAAGGG